GAGTATGCGATTGATTTCGTATATCTCCATACCAAGTTCCAGAACTCTACCATGAACACTTCCAAAGATAGGCAGTATGAAAAATTCGGTTTGTATGGAAGATGCCACGCTACCCCTTTTCCAATAGTTCCAATTTTTCCAAGAGTATGCGATTTATTTCGTACATCTCCATACAAAACTCTAGAACTCTACCAAAAAATTTCCAGAGATAAGCAATATGAAAAAATCGGTTTGTATGGGAGATGTCACACCCGTTTTTACAATAGCTAAAATTTTTCTCGAAGGATATGCGATTGATTTCGTATATCTCCATACCAATTTCCAAAACTCTGCCATGCACACTTTCAGAGATATGTAGCATGAGAAATTCGGTTTGTATGGGAAGTGCCACGCCCCCTTTACATATAGATTTTTTTCAGCCTAAAACCATCCTTGGGACACGTGCGGCAGGTGGCAGTTTCAAAAAAATCGGTTCAGCCGCTCTCGAGCCTTGCGAAAACTAACAAACGGCTTTCTAAATATATATTAGTTGAGATATATTATATATTATAATTATATTTTGACAGTATCCGTTGTTTCTTATTGGCGCAAAAAAATGTTGCCTAGTGACGAATTCGCCCCTTGATATGGTCGTTACTTAAAGCTATTTATATTCAAAATTGCATGAAAATTGGAAAACAGGAATCTATAAGCTTATCCAGGCAAAAAGCTACCTACGTACCGAATTTTAAGCAAATCGGACCATAAATACGATTTCTTCGAACAGATCGGTCCCTGGTCCACTTCTCGGACAAAATGGATCATATATGCTAATATATGCTAAAAAGCTACCTACGTACCGAATTTTAAGCAAATCAGACCCTAAATTGGATTTTTTCGAATAGATCAGTCCCTGGTCCACTTCTCGGAAAAAATTGACAATATATCCTAGTATATGCTAAAAAACTACTTACGTACCGAATTTTAAGCAAATCGGACCATAAATACGATTTTTTGGAATAGATCGGTCCCTGGTCCACTTCCCGCAAAAAATTCATCACATATGCTAATACATGCTAAAAAGTTACCTGCACACCGAATTTTAAGCAAATCGGACCGTAAATTCGATTTTTTCGAATAGATCGGTCCCTGGACCACTTCCCGGAAAAAATGGGTCATATATGCTAAAAAGCTACTTACATACTAAATTTTAAGAAAATCGGACTATAATAAGATTTTTTCGAATAGGCCGGTCCCTGGTCCACCTACCCGAAAAAAGTAAAATTTTTTTAGCCTAAAACATGGTGGTTACCGAAAGCTATTTGTATACAAAATTTCATGAAAATCGGACCTGCCGTTCGCGAGATTACCTGTTACGAAAAAAAGGGACTTCTCTTTATATAATTAGTATAGATATTTGATGTCTTGCGGGTGGTTATTGGGGGAGGCGGCGAAGTTAAGAACCCGCCTTAGCGTCCATGCACAAATCCTTCGTGCCCACAGCTCTGGTGAATACCATGTACTTACGCACTATCCTGATATGTTTATGAATTATCTTCTACTTGTGAGTAAGCATTGTATATTAACGAATCAATTTCATAAAGTCGTTTCTTAATGTACATATATGAGGCGATTCACGTCAAATGTCCCAAGCGCGCTGAGCGGTGCAAAACATGCTTGTTTTCGAATAGCTGAAAAGCAGACAAAAAATGGGAAAAATAATTCAAAGACCATGATTTATATAGATTTTTGTACGGGCTATCCGATGGTGCTATGCGTTTTCCAAAATTTTCCCATTTTCACGATGAAAATTCGCAACGAAATTTTATTTGTAATTTTTTTCAATTATGTTCATTTTTAATATTGTTTTAAGTCATCTCAATCGAAAGATCAGGTCTGTTTACATATAAGTCATTAATAAAAAAAGGGACTTTTTTGATTTTTCCGAGCTATAAAGCGTTTTATAGCGGGCTATAACAGTCGCCACGCTCCGTCGCGTCACGACGACTCCGTTCGTTTGAACGAATTAAAACATCACACTGTGATAGTAAATTTTTACAAAATTATTATTTAAACACGCTATATCTCAGACGTTTGTGTATCGATCTGAAATCCAAAAGAAGAGACCTAAATGAGACATCTAACTGCGCTCGGTTGGGTATAACTAAATGCAAACATCTATGCGCATCACCTTAATATTGTTATAACTTTTGAACGACCTGATATTTAAATCTGAAAGTTTCCTAAAAACTATTTCAGATATTTGTCTATAATGCTGCATTAAAAAAGAAATTAGATTTGAAACTTTATGACACACATTTTTAATTAGAATAAAACCGCCCCATTTATTTTTATAAAAAAGTTCTAAAAACCGACATTTTGTTTTTAATAAGTATTAAGAAGTTTTTTTAAACTTAAATTCTTTGGAATAGTTTTTAGTTTATTGTGGAAAATTTCAAATCGATCGATACACAAACGTCTGAGATATAACGTGTTTAAATAATAATTTTGTAAAAATTTACTATCACAGTGTGATGTTTTAATTCGTTCAAACGAACGGAGTCGACCTGACGCGACGGAGCGTGGCGACTGGTATAGCCCGCTATAAAACGCTTTATAGCTGGGAAAAATCAAAAAGTACCTTTTTTTTATTAATGACTTATATGTAAAAAGACCTGATCTTTCGATTGAGATGACTTAAAGCAATATTAAAAATTACCATAATTGAGAAAAATTACAAATAAAATTTCGTTGCGAATTTTCACCGTGAAAGTGGGAAAATTTTGGAAAACGCATAGCACCATCGGATAGCCCGTAGAAAAATCTATATAAGCCATGGTTTTTGAATTATTTTTCCTATTTTCTGTCTGCTTTTCAGCTATTCGAAAACAAGCTTGTTTTGCACCGCTCAGCGCGCTTGGGACATTTGACGTGAATCGCCTCATATATGTATATGGCCACAATTGTGAACTAACTACATGAATACATATACAAACATATATATTAGATTGCATCACTCCCCATAAAAAAAAAAAAAATCGGTACTTTTTCCATTGGAATTTAAAAATCTATTATATTTTAAGACGTGTACTAAAATATTTCGGAAAAATATTAAGATTTACGTGAGCTGCACAGGTTTGAAAATACCTCCAAAAATGGAACTTTTTATGAATAAAACTAGTTTCTTAAAGATTTTTTTTAAATCCACTCAAATGACAAAACGGCTTAAGTTTAAAAAATTTGCACAAAAATATTTAAAAAAAAAGTTAAAAAAATGTTCAATGGAATCGTAATAATGAGATTTTTATGTTGTTTTTTTTAACTTTTTTCAAAGACTGGTATAAGAAAAACCTGAATAGCTGAACATAAACTACTCCGATTTAGACTTGTGCGGTATCATTGGAAAGGTATTTTCTNAACTTTTTTCAAAGACTGGTATAAGAAAAACCTGAATAGCTGAACCTAAACTACTCCGATTTAGACTTGTGCGGTATCATTGGAAAGGTATTTTCTCACCCTTTTTATTTCTTTGCTAATAAACTTATTCAAAGTATGAAAGAGAAAGGTAGGATGAACGAGCGTCATTCCAAGTTGAATTAAGATGTGTTGGTATTGGAAAAAAAATTGGGACACGAATGACTTTTTCACAGAAAAAAAGAGTGAGGTAATACCTTTTTACTGAGACCGCATAAGTCTAAATCAGAATAGTTTTGGCCCAGTTATTCAAGTTTTTCGTAAATCATTTTTTTTTGAAAAAAGTTAAAAAAACAGCATCAAAAATCTCATTATTACGATTCCGTTGAACACATTTTTTTATTTTCATGCAGATTTTTTAAGCTTAATCTCTTTTGTCATCTGAAGGTATTTTTTTCAAAAACTTCTTTAAGAAACTATTTTTATTCATAAAAAAACTCCATTTTTTAGTGGTATTATCAAATCGGTCCAGCTCACGCAAATCTTATAATTTTTCAAAAATTTTATAATCCCGGCAGAGAAACCGCAACTTTTTTTGGTGATGCAGTCTAATATACATATATACATAGGCATATTCGCATTCGCAACAGCGGAGCTTCCGCATTAATTTTAACATTCGCGTTCGCAATAATCGATGCGGATCGTTTGCGAATGCGAATATTGAAGGGAACGAAAATAAAGCTATTTTTTACGAGTTAAACTTGGCCAAATATTTTTTTTCCGAAATACAAGTCCTTTCCGGATATTAAACAAACCGCTTATCTAAATTAAACAAGTTTAGTATCAAATGAAATGGATTTAAATAGCTTTAAAACTGAAATGTCTAAACGAGGAAAGACAGCTATTGAAAATTATTTCAGTGAAAATGTTAATTAATTACCATAGAACAAAATCCTGGGTCAGGTATATGAACTTGGTAACCATCGTTCGTTCTTCCTGTTTCAAAGCTATTTCAGTCCTCTTTTATATGATACCAAATTCGTTTAATGAGAATAAGCGGTTTGTTTAAATACTATCCGAAAGGGACTTTTATTTCGGAATAAAAAATATTGGGCCAAGTTTAATTCGTAAAAAAATAAGTGTTATTTTCGGTCCCTGGAATATTGTGCAAGTGCACTGATGAAACTTATATCTGGCCAGTCACAGAAGAAAGGATTAAAAATGAATTACAAAAACTAAAATCGAAAAACGCTGAAGACGTTACAGGTTCTCCGAATTCCGAAATAACCAAAAGAATGAGAATGAGGAATTCTTCGGAAAACAACGGTGTTTAAACAAAGATCTTGCCATGATGCTAGATTATGAAGATGAAAGTCAGGAGGACACATCCGACAGAAAAGATCAGGCGAAAAGAAAGATCAGGCAAATGTCACGCGAGTAGACGCATTCTTAAGTAGCTGCAGTATTATCCATATTTTCTTCAATCCGCCGTGTGCTTTAATTGGTTGAATTGATACCATAGTGTCTGTGAGTGGTTAAACTGTCCGAGTGTGCCGATATCATAGCAACTTTAAGTCACCTGCCAACGTAGTTGCGGATTTAAAATCTTAAAAACTTGGTGCATTCTAGATTGTTTAATTTTGCTTTGTTAACATGTCAAAAATTTCAACAAGAACAACTACACGTAAGTCTTCCCCTTCACCTAAGACCCCTTCAGAGCTGCAAAGTAAGCCTCAGAGAGCTGAGAGTCCCAATCTACCTCTTAATGTATGGTTCGAAAAATTAGATGCTCACCTCGAATCTCATAAGCAAAGTATAGGGCTAACTATAATATGAATAAGCTGCCGTAACTGACTGTCAGAAAATGAACGAAAAGTCTGTCAAATGCATAAGCAACGTAGTGTAGACTTTTAGGTGGCTATATTTTACTTACATGAGTTCAGTGTTGCCACATTTAATTAGATATAACAATAGCCACTATCAAGCAGTTTGTTGTAGATCACACAATTATAGTAACCTAGAAACGCCGAAGAACTGTTCGCCCTGCGAAGCTTTCAGGATAGCCTGGTGTTTCTGTAAAAGGAAACGCTTACGGTCCACTTCTTAATGTGGAACCAGAACTTCTTTTGACCTGTGTTACATGTAGGACTGAATCGAAAAAGTTACCAAGTTGAAAAATAAGTTACCAAATTACCAAATATGATAAATAAAGAAAAAAATTACCAATTTCGGTAAAAAAAACAATGCGGCAACACTGCATGTGTTACATATGTACATACATACGTACGAGGACAAACAGCTGATTCCGTACGGAAGGTGCGATCAGTATCGCTCTTTCCTTAAGCAAATGACGTTTGGCGAAACTTGACGAAACTTGATGTTAAGCACATTATAGTTTCAGAATAGGATTTATGTGTATTCGCACGTTTGCATACGCTTGCTTATTCATATTATAGTTAGCCCTTATAGTCGAACAGCTAACAATACGTATGAGGTAATCTGAAGAGCGTGTCTTGGAGAGGTTTGGTGAGATGACAGCGGAAATTGCAAATTTAAAAATATCGCTTAAAGACGTTAATGACCGTATGAAAAACCCGAGATGGAGTGTGAAAAGCTTCGCAGTGACGTACATTCTTTGACTGAACAAATGAGCGAGCATGAGAATAACCTCATATCTTCGGATGTCATCATCAGTGGCCTGCCAACAACAAAAGAAGAGAACATAACGAACAGCTTCTCTCAGCTTTGTCAAATGTTTGCAGTACAATTGCGCCCGACACGTTCTGCCTTTAGACTGCGAACTGGCAATAACACTAATGCTCCCGTCATCGTCAAACTGAGCTCAGATTCTGATCGCTCTCTATTGCTGAAAGCAGTGGCAAACTACTGTAAAGAAAAGAGAAGGCCAGTTTCTCTTCGCGACATGGGATATAATGTTGAAGGGAAACTATTTATACACGAGTGCTTAACAAAGAAAAACCGCGAATTGATGCACTTTGCTACCCAGCTAAAAAAGCAAAGGCGGTTAACATCTGCATTCTCGATTCGTGGCCATGTATCTGTTAGAGCTCAACCGAAAACTGATGCAATCAAAGTGACAGACGTGAAAAGCATTGAAAGTATAGCAGCTCTTAGCAAATAAGTGCAGAAACATTGGAGCCCAGCTATGGTTTTATGTGATGCTGTTATTTGTATGTTTAAGTTAAGGCTTATCTCTTATATCTTATTATTGCTTTACATTCTTTCCTGTTATCCTCTCTCTATCTCAACACTATTTCTGCTGACTGCCTATGCCATTTCACCTTGTATACCCCATTCGACATACATTTATTGCTGGTGTGTAATGAAATAACAAAACAGGCTAACAAAGATCATGTTAAAGGAACTCTCAAGCTTGTATGTAATAGCTTCACTGGTTTTAATATATGTAGCTTTAATGCTAGAAGTTTAAGTTCCGTGAAAATTTACTACTTAAATTTCATTCTCGATGGCTTAAATATAGACTTATTATGTATTACCGAAATGTGGTTCCAAGAGTGCATTGATGACAACTCGTACGGCTTGTGCGACTATACGTTAGTGAGAAGTGATAGGACATCAAAGATGCGGGGAGGAGGCATTGCTTTCTATTTCAAAAACTATATTAAATGGAAAGAAATCAGTAGATCTAAACCTTCTCAGCAAGTAGAACACCTTTTTATTGAGTTCAAGTATCTTGTCGCGTGCATATACAATCCAAGCAAAAGAAATGATATCTCAGTAATTTTTGAAAAACTGGCTGAATTCGCTATCTCCTATGAGTACATTATCGTATGTGGTGATCTAAATATAGACCTTTTATGTTGTGATTCCTCTTCCAAAAGTATGATAGGCAATTTTCAATCGTTAGGTATTACAATCATCAACAAATATGCTACTCGCTTCGCACCACATTGTAAACCCAGTCTTTTGGATGTTTTTGGGGTTAGTGACAATGAAAATGTTAACCACTTGGATCAATTTCCTCTAGATGGAGTTTCAGATCATGAACTAATGTTTTTATCATACAACCTTAATTTTAACAAGTAAGAAAGTCTAAGTTCGGGCGGAGCCGAACATTAAATACCCGGCGCAAGTATTAAATATATGTTTTTTCACCTTTCCGAAAC